CTATAGTTCAACATAATATTGTACAATAGTTCAACATAATATTGTCCCGTAGACCAACATAATATTGTCCTATATTTCAACATAATATTGTACAATAGTTCAACATAATATTGTCCAGTAGACCATCATAATATTGTCCTATATTTCAACATAATATTGTACAATAGTTCAACATAATATTGTACAATAGTTCAACATAATATTGTACAATAGTTCAACATAATATTGTACAATAGATCAACATAATATTGTTACATAGTTCAACATCTTATAGTTCAACACACTATTGTGCCATAGTTCAACATAATATTGTGTCATAGTTCAACATAACATTGCCTCATTGTTCAAAAAAATATTGTCCCATAATTCAACATGATATTCTCCTATAGTTCAACACAATATAGTCCCATAGTTCAACATAATATAATATTGTGCCAATATATAGTGTATTTTATAGTGAAGTTTCAAGTTCACCTGTCCGCTTGACTCGTCTCAACAGAATGCCGATTATTCTCCTTACGGTGGTTGATATCTAAGTGAAGTAAGCAACCAACAGCGCCGAAATAACTGAAAATTATATATTTTACAATTAATATTATTAAAATTAATACATTAGTATAAAGAGAGAAAGAAACAGAGGGAAAGGAAGTCCATCTGTCTAAACTTCGTAAGGGATTTTGATGCAGTTTTTTTAATGATATAGTGAATTAAGAGATTTTTAAATTCATACTTGTATACTAATATTACACAGAGGAAAACTTTGTTTGTTTGTTTGTAATAAACAGGCTCAAAAACCACTGGGCCAATTTTAAAAATTCTTACACAGTTAGAAAGGTAATTTATCTGTGAGTAACATAGGCTACATTTTCTCATTTCTTTATTATTATTTTTTAATTTCACGCGAACGGTGTCGTTGGAAAAAGCTAGTATGAAGAGGAAAAATTTGCGTTTTCGTATTGTTGTATGTATTGAAATAACTTAAACACAATTGGACAGATTTCAAATTCTTTCACTGTTAGAAAGCTAAGTTATCAGTGAGTAACAAAGGCTATGTTTTTTATATTTTTTTAATTTTATTCGAATAACACATGGGATACGTTTCATCATTGAAAATTGGCAGGTTCCCGAAGGATATGCAGTTTTCAGTAATAATTAAGTTTTTTTAATACTGCGCGGATGAAAGTTGTAAATCATACTAATATAATAAAAATTTAGATGGATGTTTGTTAGAGTTTGTAGCCTAAACTGCTGAACGGATTTCGATGAAATTTGGTATAGATGTAGAGGATAGTCTGGAAGAACACATAGGCTACTTAGTTTTTTTGTAATTTCACGCGGACGGAGTCGCGGGCGAAAGCTAGAATATAAACCTTACCCTTCGTGTTCTAGGAATAATGCTTTTAAAGCACCCCTTGACCAGTAACTCATAGCATATGACAATAACTTCATAGATAGAGGATTAACTCGCAGGAAATTACCACAAAACACCACCTGTAGAGCAAATACACTTATATAAGGGCCTGTCCTAATACTGGCTGATAGAGGGTCAGATAGCTTAATGACTGTTAAACGAATCTCGATGAAATTTGGTATAGATGTGGATAGTCTGGAAGAACACATAGGCTATTCACTTTCGTTATTTTTAATTCCACGCGAACGTAGTCGCGGGTGAAAGCTTGTTAACCATAAAGTTTTTGACTTTTGACATTTTGATAATATTTAGGAATTTATTGACCATTAATGATGTGAATTTCGTGTTAATTTGATGTAGCTTAGCCTAAGTTAAGGCTATGTTTACTTACCCGTTCAATATTTTCATTAGAGGCACAAAGTCTTGCTATAGAGCCGATATTATTAGTAATAGTAACTAAAGTGGCTCTCGCCAAATCCTCACGGGAAACCTTCGCTCGGCGTTCCGCTGAACACATTTGACCGAAACTGGAAGATAATAATGAAAAAAATAACAAAAAAATCGAAG